CTCACTCAAATCAGTATGACCAACAGTTGGACCGATATCATGCACTCTGACTTAGCAAAATTTCCTATTGTTCTTACCTGCATTTCATCCACTCCAAGGGCATCCCTCGCAAACGTTTGCAGCTCCCTTCCAATTTGAGTTGGATCAAGGAGACTGGCACCAACTTCGCTTGATAGCAGAACGAAAACCGAAAGTAAAAGTACTGAGAAAGTTTCGCTTGCGAAGCGAACTTTTCTAGCATTCATCGTCCGCTCGATCATTCCGCTTACACGTCAACGCAGTTTTACCCACTTCGACCCTCAAAACAAGTTTAAATGCCCGGTGCGCCAGTTAAAATACTGCGTGAAAATACAGTTAATTAATTGTTCCGTTATTATGATAACGATTCTTCGTGGTCAGTGGTGCATTAAGATGATGAACTGGCGGTAAACAAGACTTCTTGAGGGTGTATGACGCATAACGCTCGTTCTGTGAAGGATTAAAATAAAATACTGTCCAGGAGTATTAAATAAGCAACTTTAGGTATACTTTTCTGTATGTTTACTTCACAACAAGTGAGACTTCGTACCAGTTGCATTTTATTAAAAGCAAAGGAACCAAAGATATTATATTACAACAAAAGCTTCAGAAACTCTTTCATGTGTAAAGTAAAATCACTGGAGAATTAAAAGCACCACTTATTATTTTGTAACAACTGCTGAAATAAAAGGTTCAGCGTGCTTAAACAATCTACGGAAAGCCTTTATGATGCCGATCATCGCCACAGTTTCTACTTACTAGTGAGAATTTCAATGTCCTACATTAGCTTTCGCTTTTAATTTCCGGTATCCCACCTTAGACTCCTGATAATGTGCGGGACTGTGGTCGACCAGCCGAATAAGCTTTCAACGTGATTACACTTTGTTGATCTTTGTTCATTAAATGAAAGAGCAAACTAGATATTAGAACTATTGTCGAACAGCACAATCTTAAAAATAACACTGGTCGTTGTTGAATGATATTTTTTGACAGAATATCATTAACGTTGATAGGCTCCGGCGGGCATTTGCTAAAATTTCAAAACGTTATATCAGGTTATGGGAAACTTTACACAAAGTCGTAGTGTCAGACGAAACAATAGTTAAGTTAAGTCACTTTTGATGGAAACACTTTCTTACAAAAAATTAAGTGTGTTGAAAACTCGAGGCCATTCAGTCGAGATTAAGAGAGAAACGTGTTAATTATTTGATGTCTATCATGCAGAACTCAATCAAACAAACAATATTTATTCAGTAAGTTTGGCTTTGCATTTTGGATTAGATCGAGCTAGTTCAGCGACTTCCCGTGCTTTAGTCCTTTATACGTCAGATAAGCACATAGTTTTACGGATGCTAGAGGCTGAAGCGAGATCGTAACAAGTTCTAACGCAATTTGGATCTTTCAATATCATATAATCTGTTAGCAAAGCGAATTTCATAGCAGTTTGATGACTTGCTTGAAATAAGTTTGCAAAAATGCTTGACGTCATGGATAATATATTGGACCGATGTATTTAAAATATAAGTGCTTACATTTGGTACGACTGCAACGTTTTGAGGTCTTAAAAAGGGTAATTATTAAACAACAATGCTTCTTTTGTCTGGCAGGTTATTTCCCTGTCTTAACTTTCACAATGAATTTTGTGAATGACGTAGTGGTCCTCAACTCCACCCCTCAACATAAAATAGCCGCATATTTGCACAAGAAATTTACTTTGTGATATAAAAAATATGTGTGGGAGGTTAATATTAAACTTCCAGTAACTTGTCACAGATATTTATTTAAATGAAGATATTGATGCATTATATTAGTGTTTCATTTGAAACTTCAACGAACGTGCGGTACACTTATATTTGTTTGTCAGTTTTTAAGATTGCCACAGCAACCAGTTGTATTCAAACCAAAATAAAGTTTACAACTTCCGTTTTCGTCGCTATCGCGATTGATTTAAACGGTCTGTTTAAATTGAAGCCGATTGAATTCTTCCTGAAAAGTGAAAACTGAAGTTAAGTTTATTATCTTGATCACTGGGATGTATTATAAAGCGTACTAATGATGAACACAAATCACGGTGCATTTACATGTTCGTACCGTACACGTATGTTTACTGGTCTGATTTATTTTATCATATACTGGTCACACTGTCGACTTTACAGCGTAGTCTATTCTGAAGACTGATGAAGTACAACAAAGGTACGCTTTTTGGGGTCACGTGCGTTCGCAAGTCTTTACACGGACACGGTTGAAATCTACACGGTTACATCCTTTCGAAACCGTAACAAAAAGTGCATGGTTTCGCGCCAAGCGGAAGCCGTTTTCAAAAAGACACTGTTATCCAAGTTTACACAGCACATGAAACCGTCTCGTTTTTTTAACGCTCCACTTTCGACAGCGTTTTCAAAAATATTCATTATTTATTCCACCGTCGCCGTGTAAGCGGATGGCGTAACCGTATCGACAAAGATGCAGTTACAAATGAAACCGTGTCCGTGCAAGCTCGTCTAATAAAACATCACTAGTAGTACTGGGTAAACACTCCTTCATTGGTTAATTATCTTTCTCTTCGGCTCTAGACGTAAAGTGTGGCACATTTGCAACATTTTGTTTAATTAAAGAAAAAAATCATTGATTTGCCTTTATCGGAAAAGCTACAGATCAGTAATTTGCAGCCTTTCTAACCGTCCTTACGAATAACGGCCTAATCAATAACTTCCTCGTGAATTTATAGCATTTTAAAGACCAAAATGTAACCTTTTTAACACACTTCGAGGTAAGGGCCAATTAAAAGAGTAAACTCTCATTTTTTTTAGCGATCAATGGATAGATGGATGACGAACAAACTGTGGTAGGTTCACTCTCTAAGAGATTGAACCTACCAGAGACCCTTAGCATTGAACTTTTAAATACCATTTTGCTTAGCTACCATTTCTTGAACAATACATTATCCCCTGTCGTATTGTTTTTGGGCTCAATACCCTAAAAGGTACTACAAAAGCTCCCACTGTGAACCTTTTGAGGCTGAATTCCCTTAGNTGCGGAAAGCTTGTGTTTGAACCATTTTAAGGCTAGATGTCCCTCACTCAAATCAGTATGACCAACAGTTGGACCGATATCATGCACTCTGACTTAGCAAAATTTCCTATTGTTCTTACCTGCATTTCATCCACTCCAAGGGCATCCCTCGCAAACGTTTGCAGCTCCCTTCCAATTTGAGTTGGATCAAGGAGGCTGGCACCAACTTCGCTTGATAGCAGAACGAAAACCGAAAGTAAAAGTACTGAGAAAGTTTCGCTTGCGAAGCGAACTTTTCTAGCATTCATCGTCCGCTCGATCATTCCGCTTACACGTCAACGCAGTTTTACCCACTTCGACCCTCAAAACAAGTTTAAATGCCCGGTGCGCCAGTTAAAATACTGCGTGAAAATACAGTTAATTAATTGTTCCGTTATTATGATAACGATTCTTCGTGGTCAGTGGTGCATTAAGATGATGAACTGGCGGTAAACAAGACTTCTTGAGGGTGTATGACGCATAACGCTCGTTCTGTGAAGGATTAAAATAAAATACTGTCCAGGAGTATTAAATAAGCAACTTTAGGTATACTTTTCTGTATGTTTACTTCACAACAAGTGAGACTTCGTACCAGTTGCATTTTATTAAAAGCAAAGGAACCAAAGATATTATATTACAACAAAAGCTTCAGAAACTCTTTCATGTGTAAAGTAAAATCACTGGAGAATTAAAAGCACCACTTATTATTTTGTAACAACTGCTGAAATAAAAGGTTCAGCGTGCTTAAACAATCTACGGAAAGCCTTTATGATGCCGATCATCGCCACAGTTTCTACTTACTAGTGAGAATTTCAATGTCCTACATTAGCTTTCGCTTTTAATTTCCGGTATCCCACCTTAGACTCCTGATAATGTGCGGGACTGTGGTCGACCAGCCGAATAAGCTTTCAACGTGATTACACTTTGTTGATCTTTGTTCATTAAATGAAAGAGCAAACTAGATATTAGAACTATTGTCGAACAGCACAATCTTAAAAATAACACTGGTCGTTGTTGAATGATATTTTTTGACAGAATATCATTAACGTTGATAGGCTCCGGCGGGCATTTGCTAAAATTTCAAAACGTTATATCAGGTTATGGGAAACTTTACACAAAGTCGTAGTGTCAGACGAAACAATAGTTAAGTTAAGTCACTTTTGATGGAAACACTTTCTTACAAAAAATTAAGTGTGTTGAAAACTCGAGGCCATTCAGTCGAGATTAAGAGAGAAACGTGTTAATTATTTGATGTCTATCATGCAGAACTCAATCAAACAAACAATATTTATTCAGTAAGTTTGGCTTTGCATTTTGGATTAGATCGAGCTAGTTCAGCGACTTCCCGTGCTTTAGTCCTTTATACGTCAGATAAGCACATAGTTTTACGGATGCTAGAGGCTGAAGCGAGATCGTAACAAGTTCTAACGCAATTTGGATCTTTCAATATCATATAATCTGTTAGCAAAGCGAATTTCATAGCAGTTTGATGACTTGCTTGAAATAAGTTTGCAAAAATGCTTGACGTCATGGATAATATATTGGACCGATGTATTTAAAATATAAGTGCTTACATTTGGTACGACTGCAACGTTTTGAGGTCTTAAAAAGGGTAATTATTAAACAACAATGCTTCTTTTGTCTGGCAGGTTATTTCCCTGTCTTAACTTTCACAATGAATTTTGTGAATGACGTAGTGGTCCTCAACTCCACCCCTCAACATAAAATAGCCGCATATTTGCACAAGAAATTTACTTTGTGATATAAAAAATATGTGTGGGAGGTTAATATTAAACTTCCAGTAACTTGTCACAGATATTTATTTAAATGAAGATATTGATGCATTATATTAGTGTTTCATTTGAAACTTCAACGAACGTGCGGTACACTTATATTTGTTTGTCAGTTTTTAAGATTGCCACAGCAACCAGTTGTATTCAAACCAAAATAAAGTTTACAACTTCCGTTTTCGTCGCTATCGCGATTGATTTAAACGGTCTGTTTAAATTGAAGCCGATTGAATTCTTCCTGAAAAGTGAAAACTGAAGTTAAGTTTATTATCTTGATCACTGGGATGTATTATAAAGCGTACTAATGATGAACACAAATCACGGTGCATTTACATGTTCGTACCGTACACGTATGTTTACTGGTCTGATTTATTTTATCATATACTGGTCACACTGTCGACTTTACAGCGTAGTCTATTCTGAAGACTGATGAAGTACAACAAAGGTACGCTTTTTGGGGTCACGTGCGTTCGCAAGTCTTTACACGGACACGGTTGAAATCTACACGGTTACATCCTTTCGAAACCGTAACAAAAAGTGCATGGTTTCGCGCCAAGCGGAAGCCGTTTTCAAAAAGACACTGTTATCCAAGTTTACACAGCACATGAAACCGTCTCGTTTTTTTAACGCTCCACTTTCGACAGCGTTTTCAAAAATATTCATTATTTATTCCACCGTCGCCGTGTAAGCGGATGGCGTAACCGTATCGACAAAGATGCAGTTACAAATGAAACCGTGTCCGTGCAAGCTCGTCTAATAAAACATCACTAGTAGTACTGGGTAAACACTCCTTCATTGGTTAATTATCTTTCTCTTCGGCTCTAGACGTAAAGTGTGGCACATTTGCAACATTTTGTTTAATTAAAGAAAAAAATCATTGATTTGCCTTTATCGGAAAAGCTACAGATCAGTAATTTGCAGCCTTTCTAACCGTCCTTACGAATAACGGCCTAATCAATAACTTCCTCGTGAATTTATAGCATTTTAAAGACCAAAATGTAACCTTTTTAACACACTTCGAGGTAAGGGCCAATTAAAAGAGTAAACTCTCATTTTTTTCAGCGATCAATGGATAGATGGATGACGAACAAACTGTGGTAGGTTCACTCTCTAAGAGATTGAACCTACCAGAGACCCTTAGCATTGAACTTTTAAATACCATTTTGCTTAGCTACCATTTCTTGAACAATACATTATCCCCTGTCGTATTGTTTTTGGGCTCAATACCCTAAAAGGTACTACAAAAGCTCCCACTGTGAACCTTTTGAGGCTGAATTCCCTTAGAGGTACTAAAACCATTCTTTTTTTTACCCCCTTAAAGGTACGACGAGCACAACTGCCATTTTTTAAATGTGAGTCAATCTCGTTGAAAGCTGGTTTTCACTAGCGCCGTAGTCGTAAGAGGCCTTATGACCTAGTGAAAATCAAAAATCGGAGTCGTTAGTGGAGTCACAAGCTCAACGGAATAAGAGTCAAAAGAATCAGAACGTTTCCATTTCTTCCAATTCCGTTTACGACTCCGTCACTTATGATCATGTCAACCACAAGCCCCGGAATCGAGCATTGTGATTGGTTTATTCTTCCGCTTCCGAATCCGACAATCTAGTTTTCACTAAATCGTAAGCGGTGGTGTCATAAGCGGAATCGGTGGTCTGCTTCCCTCTCCATCAGTTTAATTTTCACTAGAGCGTATCACTCTACGCTTCTGATTACGACTCCGACTACGACTCCAACGCTAATAAAAAACATCCTTCAGGAAGCGAATATAAAATTGCTAAGATGATTTTGGTCTTACGAAGGGTCAGGACAGAGCGTTTAAGTATCCCCCTATTAAGATATCTTCTCAAGTTGATGGTTTAAATAGATCATTCTGGTATAGCATGGTAGGCAATTTTTTTTGTTCTTTTTTTTTTATCGAGATAGGGGGTGTGGAGTGTCGAGCCTTTTTTTTAATTTCCTTGCCCAGTAATTGAGGGTCTCAATAGGGTCAAGTGATTTTTACGACTAACGGTTAATTTATTTTTCTACAGGTAACGGAAACCTCAAAAATTACCTAAGTATTTTTTTAACTATTCCATTGTTTATACCTTTAGGAAAGAGAGAGAGATAATGAACCAAACAAGGAGCGAAATCTGCCATTTGGCTATTTTAAAGGGCCTTTAAGGTGTCGGGACCAACCAAGTCCTTCTATTAATTAAACAATAAACTGCAAGGCTGATACTATACGAGAAAGACGTTTCAAGACACCAACATGACAAGAACCGATAAAGCAGGATCCCAACAGCGGACAGCTGTTTCGTCGTTATTGAGACTCGTCAGCACTGTGTAGCGAAAATATGTAACGCCAACCCAAGAGCCAACGCACGTAAATTGCAAAATGACCCGTTCACTCTATCAAGTTTCGTACTTTAAACTCGCTTGCGCCCCGAAACACGCCCTGCCACATCACGTGTCTCGGGGCCGCAAGGAGACAAAGTGTCACGATTAGTGTCTCGAAAAGCAAAAATAAATGTGGTTGGACAGGGCCAGCCTAAACATTTCACCGCATGGACAACACTATGCTTAAAGGAGAGGATCACTCCAAAAAACCTACTTCTTTTGTCTTCGCCTATTAGCAAGTAAACATTTATATTCAGCTTTATCACTCATCGAAATTTCAGCCTCTGAAGTGCCAGCTATCCTGAAGAAATTCGTCCCGAAAGAAGCGGCTTCGGAGGCCGCCATTTTGAAACTATCTTGGCAGCCAGGCCGTGTTTTTGTGACGTCATTACGTCCGACCGGAAATTGGCGGGAATGAGAAAAACTTCCAACTGACTTGGCATCCTTCACAAGGTCAGCAAAATCTATTTTTTCCAAGTGATTATCCACTTCACTATCTTCAATGCCATCATTTCGAAGTTTAAAGCATGTTTGGCTCAAAATAATATGGCTCAAGAGCAGCCATGACCCAGAGTGCTGTTTAAAAGGCTCTTCGGAAGCCATTTGGACAAAATCTCTCGGACGGAATGACGTCACGAAAACGCGGCCTGGCTGCTGAGTACTGTTCAAAGTGGCAGGAACGATGTACGAATTTTGGGCTTTTCTCGAGACAAATTTCATTAGGGAAACCTGCACTTTAGAGGCTGAAATTTCGGTGACTGGCTAAATTAAGTGCAATGCTTTTATTAGCGTTGACAGAAGATATACGTTGTTTTTGGAGTGACCTTCTCTTTCAAAAAAGGGGCAGCGTATCGGATCCGAAAAGACCGACGGTCAGAAACTTCTTTCACGCAGTATCCGCCTTGATGTCTAGTGTTTTTCATTAATATTTTTTGGTTGAGATCTCTTGTAGATCCTACGTTAGCAGCGTTTTTCGTATGCGGTCCCTAGCAGTTTCTGGTTCCTCAAGTCTTTCTGTTGCCAGTTACAGTGCTTTGCTCAACTTCCTCGTATCAAGTAAATCTGTGGGCAACATATAACCACTGGAACGTGCAAAAAGGACCAAAATTAGCAAACGTTTGAGGAAACAAAACGTCCTTTACTGACGAATTCATAGACTAATTAAAACAAAGTGTTCAGTGGACCATTGTCAGTTCGCAGAACAAGGAGGCGCAACCTCGTTTCCAAGCTCTTATCGGGAACGAGGTTGAAAGACCTACCGGAAATGTATCCAGGATTCCGCGCGAGGCGACACGGATCCTTTTTAGCTTACATAAGCAGGTTTTGAGCTTAGTGCTAATAACATCTGAAACCGGCAATGCTAACCGAAGTGACGGTTGGAAGTTGTTTAAGCTCCAGGTGCACATTAGTCTCACGAGTTCAAATTCCTCCGCATCATTCGTCAGGCTGTTGATGACCAATTTCTGCACCATGAATTGTCTCTTCATTTTCGCCGCTGCTTTTTTAGGTAAGCAGATTATGGTTCATAAAACTCCGTATTTTCGATTAGAAACTGATATTTTTCCCCGCAATGTGATCCCTGCAGCTAGCCCATGATATAACTCGACAGATATAAATATTATTTTCTCTGTGTGCAGAAAGTCACTCCCACTTTCTTTTACGTATGAATTCAGTATACAATCAGGAAGAGAGTAAATTTTAAGTCGAGTTTCCTTTTTCTATATGTAAAACAGATCCTCAAACTAAACATGAGCGACTCAGAGGCAAGGAATTATTATTGGACGGAAAAGAGAAGCGTTGCAATGTAATCGAGTTCACTTGGTACTGATCAAATATAAAATATGTAAAAGCAAGCTTTGGGAGTCCGAATATTGTGTAACATTGCACTTAAAAGGACCTGAACCCACAATCAAGCCTGTTCCATGCCAGCCACGTACGCTTACAACTCAGAATATAGCTGTAATCTTTGGTGAAAGCATGTATTATTCTGCGGCGTACTGACGATTTTGTTCACACGGAGTAAGCCCCTGAGTAAGCCCCAAGAGAAAGCGGAAGTGACTTCCGCTTTCTTGTTTGGGTGATGGCCATCGCGGACTGAAAGTGAAAGTGACGTCATCAAATTCTCAAACCCAAAACTAAAAAGTAACTAAAGGCTTTCTTCATCAGGCATAAGTGGTACTAAATTCATATCTGTTTACAACTTTCCAGCTCAATAGCGTCCTTCGTTTGGAAACCAGCACATTTTGAATTGCGGAGTTATGGCGGTGCGTGACATAATGCTACAGACGCGTTGGTCGAAAAATGCATGTACACTCATCTCGTGATTTTTAGCCATTTTAGGAGTTAAAGTGTTAAGAAAAGTGCTTGTATAAATGTTTTTTTGGTACGGTTCAGATAATCAGTTGACTAGATAGCCAAAGTAAGTTCCAGATGTTTACATTATTTTCCGGTCGCTATATTGAAGGAGCAAGGAGGTGCTCCAACATCACCATACTAGGCTCTATAATTTTGCGCGGAACATTTCGATGAATATCTCAACTTTGGGACAACGCACATAACTAAAACTTGGAGAACTGAATTATTTATTTGTCGTCACAATTTCTTGACTTTATTCACTGAATGGTTTTTGATTATATTTTTTATTGCCTGACAATGAACACACTCTATTGATTCTCTTTTTGCGACGTGTTCGTAACAATGACGTCGATTTCAGTCCCTACTAACTTGTACATGAGGTTGTTAACAATAGTTGCGTCTCCAGTCGATCGGGTTTACTGCAGTTAGTAAAATTAGGAAAACATTGCACGTGTTACTGCATAAAAATAGACCCACATCATCGTATTTTCTTCAAGTATTATTTACCCAAACGTAAAAACGTTACAAATCATTCAAGCGACAAGTAGTATACTAATCGCTCATTCCAAAATACTCGCCAAATATGTTGTTACGATAACTTAGAAGAGCTCTCGTTAGTTGACAGGCTGACAATCCCCAGAAAAACAGGAAGAAGCCCGATGAATGTATATCTTGGAAGCTGTATGAATCTCCGCAAAACCAAGTCTTAGTCAGCAGTTTCAGTTTCTAGATTAAACATAATCTGAGTATGTTCATTGTGTCAGAACATTTTAACAACAAATGGCAAAACTAAGAGGGAAAAATATAATACGTAAAATACGGATCGCGTAACTTCAGTTGAGTTCGAGAGGTATGTGTTTCTTCGACTTTTTCTGGAAGAATTTAATGCTACAAAGATGCGCTCACGCGCAAGGATAACAAGATGAAAGTACGGATAGGTTGACTAAGTGAGCAAATTGAAGAAATTGTCTCCTTTTTTTATACATGATCAAGTCAGCTCCGCTGTAATTTTTTCTTTTACCCTGTTTAAATAAATGCTATCACTGACTGGCACTCATCACCTTCACTTCCACTAGCACTCATCGCTACAGCTACTGCTACTGCTACTGCTACTGCTACTGCTACTGCTACTGCTACTGCTACTGCTACTGCTACTGCTACTGCTACTGCTACTGCTACTGCTACTGCTACTGCTAATATTGACTAACTGTTATTTAGGTTGGCAGCAGCAGAGCAATGCTGAGCTACCAGCAGTTGGTAATTGTTCATTCATGGAATACTATTGTACTGTTCGAGAATACGAAACGCGCCTCTTTAAGCGCTTATATGAAGACCCAGCTACAGATTGCGGGTAAGATTGCATGTTAATTTTAATTTTAAAAAGAATGCTACGATCGCGAGGATGTACTTGGATTATCACCTCAATGAGAAATTCCCAACATTTAGATGGCACTGAAAATGGCGGCTTACGCACTTGATACGCGCAATGCATTATGGTTGACTAGGATCCTTTAATCGTTAAATCCATACGGAAGTAGCCTAAGTGAATGTCTAACTTATTTACTATTGTTTTAAACGCTTGACGTTAATTTACGCTCGGGATGTTTTTGGCTTATTATTTAGGCTTCAGGTTTGGATATTGAACTACCACGTCTTAAAACAAGCAGAGAAATGCTCAACTACCGGAAATCATACAAAAAGCCTGCACGCGGCCGATATAAATGAGGTCCAGTCGCTATACTGCAGTGGGTTGGACTTGGAGAGACCTCTGATGTTATCCCTCTCTCCGTGTTCCAACAAGCACAAGGAGGCAGTTGATCACTGCATCAGTGACTTCGCGACAACCTTCTCCAGTCACTTTGCGCAGTCATCTCTGTGCAGGTAAAATATTAGATCTTTTCCTTTTACCCCTGATCACAGTGAATAGAGGGGAAAGGTTATGGAGCCTGGCAAACATCATAGGAGCCAGCAAAAATGGCTACATTTACGTTGGAAGGTCCAAGACCTTGCACGATCTTTTGTTTGCGCTCATACACCAAAACGTTTCCATTGGTTAGTTTCTCAGTCAGAAGTAAACAGCTATTGTGTTTTAAGATAAGGTAAAGTCTGTATATGAGCCAAGTGACCCATCAGGCCGGAGCTTATCCCGGTTTCCGTAGCATGAAGCGACTAGGAGTATTTCTACTCCCCCCCTGGATGGGATGCTAGTCCATCGCAGGGTTACCCTCAGCATTAAGATCGCCGGTACCCATTTATACACCTCGGTAGAGAGAGGCACTGTGAGAGTAAAGTGTCTTGCCCAAGTGCGCAACACCATGTTCCCGGCCAGGGCTCGAACCCGGACCGCTCGATCCAGAGACGAGCGCACTAACCATGAGGCCAGCACGTCTTGAACTTGTTATTGTGTTTTGGTCAAGACCCTGGTGGTAGGTACTGAGACGGGTTGCGTAGATAACAGGGAGTAGGGAGCGTAAGCAAACCACTACGACAACGGCAACGACGACATTCCAATCTTTTCCTCTAAGCTCGCTTTTCCTTCCATCAGCACCAAAAACGCGGACTAGGTCAAGTTCGATCTGATAGCCCTGGATTCACCGACTCTTTGTCGTTTCCGCTTAGAGCGGATTGCTAGACAGTTCAAAATGAGTACGCCGGGCTTGCTTAAAATACTGCACTTAAGACCAGAGTCCGTTTTCTGAGTATTGACTAAAGGAAGGCAGGCACTGGAGACGAGGTTGACCGCATAGCTCATGAAGTGATACTTATGATCTATTGGAGGACAGACGCATAGGTCGCATAGATGACGTAATTCAGTAATAGGTCACAAATGACGTCCAAATGTGTTAAGAACATCATTGATACACTCGGCTATTGCCTCGTGTGCTACTTTTTTTTTCCTACCACATTTTGACGTCATCTGTGGTCTATTACTTAACAGACGCACGTCAACATGGAATTTATTTGTTAAGTACAAACCGGCTTTGGACCTCGCCTTTGTTCAGACCTCACCTTTGTTCAAAAGTGATCTGGAAACCGCATTATCTCGCTCAGTAGAACAACAGAGTTGCTTCTTGATTTACTTTTATTTCTTGTCTCATCATCATGTTTGGTTTCATTGTGACAGGAAACGTGACAAAGCCAAACAGTGTACAATCTTCGCGTGGCGCACCCACTGCAATCACTCAAATGTGACCGATGGTATCCTTAGAAAGGTCATCGGTTCCTTCAATCCCTTTTGTGACGGGGACAAGGATCCACAGGCGGAGGAATCCGATCAGTGTGCGAAGTACCCCAAACCTCCTGATGATGGTGTCTCAAGTCCCAGCGAGCAACCGGAAAGTAAGAGTGCAGCAGGAGAGAGAAATGGCGTCGTTCCCTATTTATTTTATGTAGTGCTTTTCGTAACATCAAATTGGTACCCAAACAATCTTATTACAATCTGAAGAGGCGACCGGGGCCTAGTGGTTAAGGAGTTGAACTTGTAATCCGGAGGTCCCAGGTTCAAATCACCCCCCTTCCATTAGATG